TAGATTGCAGGTATGGTGGCTAGTGTAGAACTTGGACAGACTACTTAAATAGACAACCAAAAGTTGTATATATGGCTAGTTGTACTCTTATCATAATTGTAAACATTGTTAATTATCTAATAAAAAGCCCCCAGCCATAGAGGTCACCTTAACACTAAAAAAAAATTGAAATATAAATAATAAGTACTAATAAGTATAAGAGCCGAGTAGCAATATTACCTAAGCTCTACTTGTTTATATAAAGACCTTACTCTTACTTTAGGGCTTGGGATTTGATATTCTAATCTGGCTTTTGTGGATCTATCCACAGATACTCATAGATAGCTCAGACCCATATAGAGGCCTAATATATATCAATTATTATATAATATACATAGTAATTTTTTTTATATAACAGATTATATAGTAAACACAAATTTGATTAGACAATTGCCTGTTTTGAAAATATTTTTACTATTTATTTTTTGTATAACCTCAGGAAAAATTTGAGGCTTTTCTAGCAAATTTTACTACTATAAATAGAAATTATACTTTATGTTTTACAAAAATTTGGTTAAAATTAATTATGTCTGTAAAAATTTTTATCAGTGGCAAATTTTTATTATCTATATAAAATCTTGATATGTAATATATATATATTATATAAAAATTAATATTTAACTTAATTACAAATATTTAATTGTCAAGTTTTTGTTTAATTATGCCAAGTACTAGTTTTTTTAGCAAAGTGTATTTGCTAGAATTTGATTAGTTAAAATAGAAATTTGCAAGCTAAATTATAAATATATATATATATATAGTATTAATTATATATAATATTTAAATTAAATATATATATATACTGTAGTATTATATACAGTATATATATATATATATACAGTAATATATAAAAAAAAAATTAATTATATTTCTATAATTTATATAATAGGATGATTTTAATAAAATTATTTAAAATACAGTAGTATTTAGTAAACTTTTTAACAATAATAATAATAATTGTTATATAGTATTAACAAATTTACTTTAACTATAGATAGTGTTTTAAACTAATAAAATTGTTAATAAGTTGAGTTAAGTGAGTTAAATTAAACTATTTCTTAATATATTCTAACTTGGATTGGACTTATTTCGAAGCTACTTCAAATTTACTTAAAATTGCTTTAATTTACTCTAATTTTATTTTAGTATATTTTTAATTCACTTTAATTTGAGTTGGGCCCACTTTAAAGCTACATTAACAACTTTATAAACTAGGTACCAAATCATTAATCGGTTAACCGAACCAGTTTTAGTAATTCTAATCTATACGTATAGTTGACACGATTGACCCGATTTATCCAGTTTAATTGGGTCAACCGAATCAAAAATATCAACCGAGTTAGCAAAATCAAATAAACCACAGATTAACCAAACTAAATAAATTAACTAAGCCAACAACTGGCTCCAAGATCTAAATTTATACAATACAACTTTTCAACTATTTGTGTTGCATTATAAAGGTTTTTACTCTAAGCAAGAACAAATTCCCATTATTAGTTTTGGCATTTTAAAAAACATATTTCAAATAACCAATTATATACACAAAATACAGATTTTAAACAGATAATCCAGATTATATATTAACAAATCACACCTCTAATTCATGATTTAATAAACTTGAAAGCCTGAAGTCTTGTTTTCTAATTTGACAAAGGTTTCTTCCGTTCGACCATTTATCATGCAACAACGGGATGGATTAGCTATTGTATTTTATCCAACATCTCCGTCGAGAAAATTACTTCAATTTCATACTTGGATAACGGAGTATGACCTAAAATATCATCACTCATTTACAGAAACTATTCCTACAACATCTATTGCAACAATTTCGTCCTCTCAGAAAACTCAAGAGGAAAGAATAGGCAAAGATGGTTTTAGTAAGGTTCCTCATGAGCTTATGATGATTATTATGGATAATTTGGAAGCTACCGACATTCTTTCTTTATCTATGGTGAGTTTTCTTAAATGTCATTATTATTTATTTATTTAATTTAATTCTAATTTGCCAAACATTAGGTGAATAAAAAACTTAGAGCCCATACTCAAGATAATTATCTATGGCGTCAAATTCTCATAAGAAATTATGGAGAGTCCGTTATTAAGGATGAACCAAAGCATCCAAGTCGCAGATTAAAATGGAAAAGGACAAAACGTAACAAGCAACCACAAGTAGAGCCCAATTGGCAGAAGGTCTTTATGAAATTATGTAAGTTTATAGAGTTTTTCGCTATTTACTATATTTAATTGATTCAGAAAGTTCTTACAAATATTACTGAATAGCAACTGTTAAAGTCTCGACGAAAACTGCAATTTCGCGAGGAAAGCCCGGCGCTTATTATCGTTATAGATATTTCGATCACAAATCGAACG